TTCAACCTTTATAAGTCTAAATAAGATCAACAAATTCCATTGGAAAAGTGAGAGGGAGTCAGAAACAGTCAGTTCTGCCTTGGCATTTGCCACCCTCATGAAACGATGATACTTCTTTTTATGTCTTTACTATGATGTTTCCAAGAGCACACAGTTTCAACAACTGTCACCATATGGCCAATTTGCAACAATGGGACCCTTGTGCAAAGCTTTATTTAGGCCTTCTGTGTGTGACGTATTGCCAGAAAAGACAAGCTCTGATTCAGCTGGGCTGGCCGGGCTGCTCCTCTGGAAGCCCATGCTCGTGGGGATTTATGCACGATACAGGTTCTGTACAGATCTGCAAGGCTGGCTTCACAAGAGGAAGTGCATTCAGCAGAGAGAACCAGACCCTCTGCTTGGCTCTTCTAATTTTTCAGTGATCTGCCCGCAGACATCCCTGGAAGCAGAGAAAGGAGCTGGAGGACAGTGATCCAGTTGTCTTTTGGCTGGGTGCCAGGCCTTGGGGATGTCACAGAGCTGCGAGACTAGCTTCAGTTCAGAGAACTCATTGTCTTAGGACAAACAACCTGATGAAGTATTTGGGGTCTGGGTCCAATTGCAGTGTAATCCTGTCTAACAGAAGCTACAGCCTAGATCGCAGGGCAGGGTAAAGTCTGGAGTTAACTTTAGCCAGTAAAATTTCTCCAAACAGAAAAAGTGAGGCTGTACATTGATTCATTATCGCGTTTTCCTCTAAAGTAAAACTTCCCTCTGTTTCTATGTCACTGTTTCCCTCTAAAGTTTCATAATACTCATGAACTATTCAGCCTGTTTAAATAATTTGTAAAATCTTGCTAACTAGCAAATTCACATTGGGATTTTCCATTGATCTGGTCCATTTGATAACTCAAATAATTCTTGGTATTGTTAGTGTTCAGTTTGTGGATGAATATTCCCTTGGCTCCAGCAGATGTCTTTAAATTCCTTTGTAGAGTGAACTTCTGAAATGCCTAAAAGGTTTCTTTTTTAAAAAAAGAAAAACATTTAAAGTGTTATAAATATATGGGTATTTTTTTATTTTGTGTAATTTTACATTTCATGAAGTAGTGTCAGTTTCAAAGAGAAAGTGAAGAGGAGCTGACATATATCTCTGTCTATAAAGGATGGTTTCATTAAAGAATGTGGATTTATTGATGTGTCTGGGTTTGTATTACTTTTCAGACAAGATGGATCCTCGTGATGATAATTTCTCTAATACCACAAGATCTTGGGGAGAATGCTAAAAGGGGTACTTTCTCATGGTCTTCTGCCCTCTGGGGAATACTCAAGTGCATCGCTCCTGCACCGAGTTCCCTATTGGACCCAGAAAGTCATGAGCAAAGCTAAAGATGACTTTCAAAGTTGACCCCTTTCTTGGACAAAAACAAGCTGGAAATCTGACAACCTAATTGTGGAGATGGCTGCTGCTGCAACAGTTCCAGATGTGGTAGACATCTTCCATTTGTCCCCCAGCTCTCCAGTCTACCCTTCTCCACTGGGCTTTGTGCCTGAGGACTACATCTGACATCCAAGACTCAAGGTCACAGCTCCCGTAAGGTGGCCCCCTCTCTCTCTGAGCCCTGGTAGCCTCTCCTTCCACTGGCTGCTTAAGCAGTAGGGGTGGAAATAACTCCCTGCTGCTTTAACACTGGGGTACTGCACTTCCTCCACGGGAGACCTTTACAAATATTGCCTTTAATATTTTGTTTTATTTTGTCTTGTTTTTTGGTGACTGGGTGATAATAATCCCTTTAATAAACCCTCCTCAAATACAGTAAATTGAGTACATCACTTGTTTCCTGCAAGGACCCTGACTGACACAGGGTCATTTCTAATACAAGGAGAGAGACTCCATCTGATAAAGGACAAGGTTTTTGGGTTGACTAGATGAAGAGGTTTTGGGGTATGTTTAGAGTTTTGTGGTTTATCTTAGGGAAGAGTAATATAGGACCATGTTTTTACAAACACTTAGATCAGTGTCAAAGCAAAACCCTTTAACGCATGCAACTGTTTTATGCTATACATAATGTCTCCAGGTTCTATGTCTTTTCTGCCCTTTTGCACTCACCAGTACTATATATGTACATGAGGATACTTCAAAAAGTTCGTGGAAAAATAGAATTAAAAGATAATACGAATCTGTGAACTTTTTGAAGACCCCTTGTGTGTGTGTATGTGTGTGTGTACATGCATGCACGCATGCAGGAAGACAGATAGCTAGCTAGTTATATATCCCCAGAAGATGCATCTTCTGGACCTAATGGATGAGCTCCAATGGTGCAGGGGTATAAATGCTGTATATCCATCAGCAACATCTGGAGTGTTTTTAATTTTTTATGGCAGAGGAAAGGGAGTGTGACAAATCACACACTGCCTCTTAAAACTGTCTGGAAGTGACATATTCTACTCACATTTCATTGGCCAAAGCAAGTCGTATGGCTGTCCTCATCTTCATGTTAAGAATAAGGTAAACTACAAATATTTGGTGGACAGCAGTAAGGACTCTCACAGGTGACATAAAGGATGGTTTCATTAAAGAATGTGGATTTATTGATGTGTCTGGGTTTGTATTACTTTTCAGACAAGATGGATCCTCGTGATGATAATTTCTCTAATACCACAAGATCTTGGGGAGAATGCTAAAAGGGGTACTTTCTCATGGTCTTCTGCCCTCTGGGGAATACTCAAGTGCATCGCTCCTGCACCGAGTTCCCTATTGGACCCAGAAAGTCATGAGCAAAGCTAAAGATGACTTTCAAAGTTGACCCCTTTCTTGGACAAAAACAAGCTGGAAATCTGACAACCTAATTGTGGAGATGGCTGCTGCTGCAACAGTTCCAGACGTGGTAGACATCTTCCATTTGTCCCCCAGCTCTCCAGTCTACCCTTCTCCACTGGGCTTTGTGCCTGAGGACTACATCTGACATCCAAGACTCAAGGTCACAGCTCCCGTAAGGTGGCCCCCTCTCTCTCTGAGCCCTGGTAGCCTCTCCTTCCACTGGCTGCTTAAGCAGTAGGGGTGGAAATAACTCCCTGCTACTTTAACACTGGGGTACTGCACTTCCTCCACGGGAGACCTTTATAAATATTGCCTTTAATATTTTGTTTTATTTTGTTTTGTTTTTTGGTGACTGGGTGATAATAATCCCTTTAATAAACCCTCCTCAAATACAGTGAATTGAGTACATCACTTGTTTCCTGCAAGGACCCTGACTGACACAGGGTCATTTCTAATACAAGGAGAGAGACTCCATCTGATAAAGGACAAGGTTTTTGGGTTGACTAGATGAAGAGGTTTTGGGGTATGTTTAGAGTTTTGTGGTTTATCTTAGGGAAGAGTAATATAGGACCATGTTTTTACAAACACTTAGATCAGTGTCAAAGCAAAACCCTTTAACGCATGCAACTGTTTTATGCTATACATAATGTCTCCAGGTTCTATGTCTTTTCTGCCCTTTTGCACTCACCAGTACTATATATGTACATACCCCCAAACTTCCCTGACTTCTTATGTCAGCCTTCCTTGCAGTCTACCTCGTCTACCAGGGTCCTAAATGTCCGCTGTGCGCCCCTGGTCTCTGTCCTAGCCTTCTTCCCTGTCTACCTGCTCATGTACATCTGTGGCTTTAAAACCATCCACAGGCCAGCCACTCCCAAATGGACACCTTCAGCTCCAGACCACTTTTATCCGACTGCCTACATGGCACCTCCACTTGGAGGGCTCACGGGCTACTCAAGTTTAAGGCAGCAAAAACATAGCTCTGGGTCCCCACATCCCAAATCTGTGTCCCTTGTATTGCCTGCCTAAGCAGGTGGTGTCACCGTCCCCTGCTTTTATCCGACTGCCTACATGGCACCTCCACTTGGAGGGCTCACGGGCTACTCAAGTTTAAGGCAGCAAAAACATAGCTCTGGGTTCCCACATCCCAAATCTGTGTCCCTTGTATTGCCTGCCTAAGCAGGTGGTGTCACCGTCCCCTCTGTGAGGCGAGCCCCGCCCAGCAGTTGGCCTGTGCTGCTTCCCTCGCCTCTCTCCCCGCCCTGCTCTTTCCACCCCGCGCTGCCTCTGCCTCCACAGTAAGCCACAGCCCCCACTGCTCTCCGTTCCCACTGCCCCCCCGAGGCAGCCACCCTCAGCACTCACTTAGACTCTGCCCCCCAGTCCCCCGCTTCTACTCTCGTCCCTGTAGTCCATGTTCCAGAGAAGCCAGGGTGATCTTTGTCAGCATCAGTCAGATCACGCCCCTCTCCAGTGAAAACCCTGGAAAGCCTTCCCTTGCTCTAAGACTGAAAATCTTACCATGCCCTGCCATGCCCACATCATCCAGCCTGGTCGCCCTCTGTCCTTAACCCCTTCTGGGGTCACTCCCCGTTGCTCCAGTGACACCAAGATTGCAGGGTGCTGCATTTGCTGTGCCCTGTGCCTGGGACTCTCCTCCTGCAACCTTCACGTCATCCTCTTCTCACCCTTCACGTGCAGCTCGACTGTTGTCAAGACCACAGCCACTCCTGTCACTTCACTCACTTGCTCCTTACACTCTTGTTTCCTGTCCGTGGTTTTCATTTAGTGACCAAATTATTGGTTTTAGTTCTGCTGTTTTGTTGGCAACTCATTCACCGACTTAGAGAAGCGACCTCATAACGAATCATAAGCTGTACGAAGCAGCCAACGGCTTCCTCCAGCTCCAGGAGCTTCCCACCCAAAACGCGAGGACAGGGAGGGAGCGAGGCGGCTATTGGCAGTGAGTGCGCTGTCCCAGCGGTGGCAGCTACAGCCTGCCTCACACACAGCGGGCTCCCCTGCCATCCTCCTGGGGGGACGCAGTGACTCCATCGGGGTCAGGAACGTGGTTAATGCAGTTAATGTGTCAGCTGGGGACAGAGCAGCCAGCCTCAGCCTATGTAACCCATTGTTTCTAAAGAGCTGCCAGCTGCAGAAGGCCACAAGCTCTCAGGCCAGCTGTGCCTTCTTCGCTGAGATGGAGGTGGAGCTAAGGAAGTGGCCCAAGAAGAGGACAGAAAATGAAGGCGAAGAGGGTGGAAGAGCGGGTCATACACAGCGGCCGTGGAGCAGGAGCCCGTGCTTCCCAAGGGATAGGCTGAGACTTGGCTACTCCCCTGACCATAAATGGCCTGGCCAGGGCTCTCTTGGAGCCTCCTCTCACTCTGCCTCCCCAGATCTCCCAGTTAGATGTTTCTACAAATGGGAGACACAAGCCAGTAACGCCAGCGAGAAAGGAGCTTGCAAAGGGCAGTGTTTGGAGAAGGTTCTTGGGAGGCTGTCGGAGATGGTGAGTGAGAACTAGCGTCTCATCTCAGCCTAACCTTCATTTCTCTCTGTAAAAAACAACCCCCAGATTTTTAAACACAGATCTCCTAATTCAATCAAGTCAAGGGGCTTGGTTTTTAATTATTCTTTTATATGCAAAATACTAATCCCTCTTTAAAATTTTCATCTAATATTTGCTGATGTCATCTTTTATTTTGATATTAAGGTTTTGTTTTTAAACCCTCACATATAACAAGGGTGAAGAATAGATGTTTCAGCTATATTCATTTCCTAGTTGAAGCAATGGGCCTGATCAATGACTTTATCTTTCTTATTTGTTCAATCTGCCTTCTGCTACATTATCAGCAACACAGATGTTCATTATTGCATCAGAAACTGTCCACCTTTCTTATTGACTTGTGATACATATATGGTTGGGACTTAATCAAATGAAGTTTGCTAAGTTAGGAGAAAAAACAGAAGAGGCTTCTGTGATTTCTTTATTAAAGGATTAGGAAACAACCTAGGTGTCCATTAGTGGATGAATGGATAATGAAACTGTGATATACAAACTGGAATATTATTCAGCCTTAAAAGAGGAGTAGATCTTGCCATTTGCCACATGTGGATGGACCTGGAGGACATTGTACTAATTGAAATAAGCCAGACATAAAAAGAAAAGTATTGCATGATCTCACATGTGGAATCTAAAAAAAGAAAGGATTATTAAAAGGAGCTGAAATAAGGCTTTGGAGTTAGGAATATCTGTGATCTAACCCTATCTCTACCATTTACAAGAAGGTGACCTCCAGAAACCTATCGTGGTCTCAGTTTCCACACTGTGATGTAGGAGTAACAGTACTCCCCTCATGGGGAAGTTATAAGGATAGTGTCTGATACACAGCACCCCTTCAATAACAATGAGTTATTATCCCATCTCTCCCTCCTTCCCCTCACAAATGGCCAACTCATAATGAGGGACACTCAGTCACTGACATCCCAAAGTATCTTCAGAATCATTTGATATTACATAGTGCTCAGGCTAGCGATAAGCAATAAGTGTTTTGTATCAAATGCTGGTGCTCTGAACATTGCTAATTTGTGCTTGCAATTCCGTTGAACAAGAACTCCCCAAGTGGCTTCCCTGTGCCTAGCTCTGCACTTGCCAGGCCAAGAAGGCTGATTCCACACGATCCCTCACACACCTGGAGTATTTTACAGTTTGGAAGGAGCTGCCACAGATATTTCCTTTGGGCTTTTCCTGTGAAGTGGCAAATGAATAAGTGTCCCACTCTGAGGATGGAAAAACTGAGCCTGGGGGAATAGATTTGTTGTGAGGAAATGGAAACCAGAGAGTTCAAGTGACTTATCCAAGCCCGCACAGCTATTCAGCAGCTGAGTCTGTACTCAAATCCAGATCAGGTGGCTCCAAGCCCAGGGTTACCTCACCCCACCCAGCTGCATCTCTAAAGGACACTGTGTCAGATTCTTCTCTGCCCAAATTTACACAACGTTTTTCTCTCCATGAGAGCACTGCACTGTGTTTCTATAAGATATGAATGTCTTTCTAAAACTGGCCAAAACCTTCGTCATCCACATGTTGGTAAACAAAGCATGCAAGGGCCCACTTGTTGCTGCATGCTCTTTTCTCTGTCCCCCAAAGGAAGCTTTGTCCTGGGCTCGCTGATGTCAGTATCCAGTTCCAAAACCTTCGTCATCCACATGTTGGTAAACAAAGCATGCAAGGGCCCACTTGTTGCTGCGTGCTCTTTTCTCTGTCCCCCAAAGGAAGCTTTGTCCTGGGCTCGCTGATGTCAGTATCCAG